AAACCCATCCCCCCCCAAAACCCCTTTTCCCAATTTCTCATTTTCCCCCCAAACCCCCCCATTTCCCCCTATAAACCCCATTGTCCCCCATAACCCCCACCCCCCAAACTCCGGATTTAACCGAAATCCCCGTTTCTCGGCCCGAGCCGCAGCGGTGGGCGCGGCGTACGCCATCAAGCGCGCGGACGCCAGCCGGGCGGTGGTCTGCTACTTCGGGGAGGGGGCGGCCAGCGAGGGCGACGCGCACGCCGGCTTCAACTTCGCCGCCACGCTGGAGTGCCCCATCGTCTTCTTCTGCCGCAACAACGGCTACGCCATCTCCACGCCCACGGCCGAGCAGTACCGCGGCGACGGCATCGGTATTTTGGGGGGAATTTGGGGATTTTGGGGGATTTTGGGGGATTTTGGGGGGATTTTGGGGGGATTTAGGGGGAATTCCGGGCAGTACCGCGGCGACGGCATCGGTATTCGGGGGTTTGGGGGATTTTTGGGGATTTTTTGGCGATTTTTTTGGCAATTTTTTTGCTATTTTTTGCGGTTTACTCTGGGATTTTTTTTTTTGCGATTTTTTCGCGTATTTTTCGCGGTTTTTTTGCTGATTTTTTTGTGGATTTTTCTCGGATTTTCTGCGATTTCTTTGGTGATTTTTTTTTGCGATTTTTTGCGTTTTTTCGCCGATTTTCCCGGGATTTTCTGCGCTGATTTCCTGTGATTTTTTTGAGTGATTTTTTTGCTTTTTTTCGCGTATTTTCGCCGATTTTCCCGGGATTTTCTGCGCTGATTTCCTGTGATTTTTTTTGCGATTTTTTGCGATTTTTCGCGTTTTTTTCACTGATTTTTTTGTGGATTTTTCTGGAATTTTCTGCGATTTTTTTGGCGATTTTTTTCGCGATTTTTCACGTTTTTTTGCGGATTTTCCCGGGATTTTCTGCGATGATTTCCTGTGATTTTTTTTGCGATTTTTCGCGTATTTTCGCCGATTTTCCCGGGATTTTCTGCGCTGATTTCCTGTGATTTTTTTTGCTATTTATTTTGCGATTTTTCGCGTATTTTCGCGTATTTTCCCGGGATTTTCTGCGCTGATTTCCTGTGATTTTTTTTGCTATTTATTTTGCGTTTTTTCGCGTATTTTCGCCGATTTTCCCGGGATTTTCTGCGCCGCTTTCCTGCCTTTCCCCATCCCGGTGTTTCCCGCCCGCAGCGGCGCGCGGCCCCGGCTACGGGCTGCCCTCGGTGCGCGTGGACGGCAACGACGTCTTCGCCGTGTTCAACGCCACGCGGGAGGCGCGGCGCCGCGCCGTGGCCGAGAACCGGCCCTTCCTCATCGAGGCCATGACCTACCGGTGCGCCAAAACCCGCGCTTTTCGCCCCAAAATATTCTGCTTTTTACCCCAAAATATTCTGCTTCTCACCCCAAAATATTCTGCTTTTCACCCCAAAATATTCTGCTTTTCACCCCAAAATATTCTGCTTTTTACCCCAAAATATTCTGCTTTTCGCCCCAAAATATTCTGCTTCTCACCCCAAAATATTCTGCTTTTTACCCCAAAATATTCTGCTTTTCACCCCAAAATATTCTGCTTTTCACCCCAAAATATTCTGCTTTTCACCCCAAAATATTCTGCTTTTCACCCCAA